CAAGTCCCCAAACTTAATCAACATTGATTAAAGCAATCACAAGCACATCTCAACAACACAAATCGCCTCAAAACCAACTCACCACAATAAGTCACAAAAATATCAACCATCATGCCTTTATCCCCAAAATAAAAACACCTTAAGAATTTAACCAAATAAAAATAACTCAAGCCATTCAAACTAGCACAATAAATCCAAACCGACTCTCATGTCATCATCGCAAAATTTCACGTACATGCAATCTCATGCTCACACAGGACAACATCATGCAAATGATCTAAGACTCAAACTCTAAGGGACATAAATATAATCACATAATAAATCATGAATGCTCACCAAGAAACCACCTCCCCAAACTTAGAGCTTGCATAAATCATTGACACTCAAATAAACACAAAAGCACAAAAACAGAGGTAAAAGAAACGAGTTCACCTTAGTCAATGAGGAAGAAGTCGACCGAACCACGCACACCATTGGGTTGCCTCCCAACAAGCGCCTCTTTTTATTGTCGTTGACCCGACTTATTGCTCTCTTTCATCAAAAAATCCATGGTGGCTTTCGAGGTGGTCTCAAGGGAGGCACAATTCTCACGGCCCCATGCTTATTGAAATTTATTCTTTTCGGCATTGGATGCTTCACCGGATCTTTCCTTCATGACGCTAGTTGCTCAAGAATATGTAGCAGCCCGTGATCAATCACGATCATAATCTCATTAAACTCCCATTTGCGCCTCACATTTTGCTCGATCGTCTCAAGAGAAGGTATATCAAGGCCCAAGTCATACTTCAGTGCATCCTTACTCATGACCCACTTCATATTGGAAGAGATAGGACATGGTTCAGCTTCTATCGGCTCAAGAGTGGGGAGAACGGTACGCTTTTTGGCTTCAGCAGGTCGAGTACTGGGTCCAGCAAGTCGAGTACGGGGTACCCCCAGTATTTTGCTGCTGCGACTCTGCTTTCTCTATATTCGTGATTTTTTCGTTCTCCAGTTCGTATGTGCATTCTTCAGGCTCTTCGGGGTCCTTGCTGCACGAATGGGTGACGCTTGAACTCATTGGAATCGTTTCGATCCGACACACTAGTCGGTCCATTTGTTCCGCCAATTGGCTCATTTGCCCTTGTAAATTCTTTATTCGCAAGCCTTGGTTCTCGATGCTCATCTCTTGGCTCTTGATGCTTGCCTCAACACTTTGTTGAAAGTTAAGAGTGTGAGCCGTCAACTCCATCATCATCTCCTCGATCGACAGACCAGGATCCCTCTCAACTAATGGCTCGCAAAACTCTTGTTGAAATCTCAACGTG